ATGATATTTCCACATTTTTTTGATACAGATATGAAGATCTGTAATATAAGATATATCAAAGGGATTAATTGATTTTTCTTTATTTCCTTGAATAATAACTAAAGTATTAATAATAGTTAATATATCTAGATATAATTTATAGGACTTATTCCAATTGTTATTATTGAAGATAATAATAATACCCTATTTTGTATTAGTTATAATTGAAATATCAGTAGGTTTTGATAATGCTATATTGACTAATTAGGCTGGGAAAAAATATAAACAAAGGGAATAAATAAAGGTTTTATTTAAGTTAAGTTGATTGATATTACAAATTGTATAGAGATATCGATAATATAGGCTTTATAATCTATTAGAAGTATATATAGATTATATTCAGATATAAAATCTAAGCTATGTTATTGAGCATATAAATAAACAAGATGTACGCTAGTAATGAATAAAGAAGAGAGGTAGTGCCGTGATACCCATAGTACCCATGACTTTCTAACAATATTATTAGTTCTATATAATATTCTTCACCTTATATTTATTTGTATTACTATATTCATTATATTGTTCCATTCCACTATATTGTAATAAATTTCTCGTTTCAATTTACTTCTCATTTCAGTCTCATAATATCTAAAGGCAATCAATTCAAATTATCTACCCATTGACCAGCCACAGATAGATAGCCATTTATCAACTACCTGGTATTACATATACTGTACCTTATTTCTCTTACACATTCTACTACTTCATCCCATCTCTAATACACTACACTCCACTTACTACACCACACCACACCACCTCAAATCCAATTCCCCTCTCTCATACTCATACGATTCATTTCGTGATCAACATGTACATTTCCTTCCCTCATATTCATCGCATTAATCTCATAATCATCAAATACGGCTCCATAGTCTTGACTTTGCCCACGATGATGATGCATAGCCTCCAATTCCACCGCCCCCCCATTTGAACCCCTATTAGAGTCCCAAGCTCTTAATTCTTCAGGTTCTCCTAAATCGTCATCTTCTGTCATACTTAACTCCATCATTTCGGCCATTCGTTCAGGTGATAGAAGTCTACGATTCTCTTTTCTTTCCGGTGTTGGACTCCATACTCTTTCGAGAAGAGTTTCTTTGACGGGAGATGGAGTACGACGCATCCATTCTGATTCGGGAATTGAAAGTGTCCCTGTGTTATCGTCACTCGTTGTACTAGTATATGAACGGCCATTGATAGCTTGATTGACTGACTCCTTTCTTGGTGGAATTTGTAATGGCGAGATTTGGTTCGGTGAGCGCTTAGGCTTACGAATGGTGACGTTTGGGAGGGAGAAAGAGTTTTGAATTGGTGATGATGAAATGATTCCTTGTCGCTTGGACTATTCACGGTGAAGTTAGTACTGTAATGTCCTGATAACTCGAATATAATGGAAAGAGTATAGATGTATGGGGAAAGTTCAGAGAGATGAGAAGACAAATATCAATCATACATTAGTTCTGGAAGGTGGTGGTGATAAAGCTGATATACCCTCAAAATTATAATCCTCTTCATACTCCTCTTCTTCGGAATCTTCATCTTCGTATTCTATGGATATCTCAGAAACATCCGAATCAATAGAAACCGCAACTGCAGTTCCAATTATGGGCTCCGGAGATGACTGATCTCTATCAAGATAGGACAGTAAAGAAGGTGTAACGGATGGTGCACGAGATACTGGTGATGCACGAGAAGCTGCAGATGAAGTTCGACTTGGTATCTCCGGTAAAGGTCTATTGTAATCGGTAGCCAGCCAATCATGTGAAGATGGGGATCCAGCCCCATCAATAGACAACGCAGATAATTCCAATTTTGGCATAACTCTTCTCTCGATACTTCTATCCTTTGGTGCTGATGTATAGAAAGGATCAGGTTCAGTAACATGGTCAGTGGGAACAATAAATGCATCTCTATGATCTTTGTTGACCGTCAACGTTGAGCCCACTCGTTTTGTATCAAATACTCGTGTCCAAGGTCGTCTTTCATCGGGAGAAAAGGGGCTTCCATCATGGTCGAGCGGAGGGTAGGCAGCTCGAAGAGAATCATGTATCTGATCACTGGTATATACTTTGCCCAAGTATTTTGTTGGAGTATGTGGTGATCCAAGTGTCTGGCTCAGTAGCGGCATATTTTGACTTGGACCCATTAAGTGCCTAGCCATACTTGGAACTTGGGTTTCAAGGGTTCTAGGATGGTCAAGAGGTATTAGATGCAACGATTGCAAGTTATCCCAACTTCTATAATGAAATTTGAATGTAGCAAATGGGTTGTCCTTGGCATCCTTGAGATGCCAATCGAAGTATCTCGCATCTTGAGGTTTCTCTACAAGTCCATGGGTAGGCATACTAAAAGGATGTTAGTCAAATAAGGCTTAAGAGTGTAGTACGTATTTGCATGTAACAGGCAGATAAAATGTGATACAAACTTACACAACACCATAATTTGTCTGATCTTTATATTGCTCTAATCTGGGGTTTCTTCTCTTGCGACCACGGGCACGAAAAACTTTTATTTCAATCAGGCCACCATCATCTGCGGCACCACGATCTTCTTTTTCCTGGCTGAAGAAAAATGGTCTGTATTCTGTGCCGGGATTCTTATAAGTTGTTTTGCCCTCCTTGTAATCCCATGTTGCATCCGGTTCGAACAATGCTCTCATAACTTGCCCACTCGGTCGCGTCTTCGAATTTGTTCCCCAAGATGTGATGTGCCGACCATTCATATATAATTTGAAGTAAAACCATGGACATTGGTCTGCCGCATCTCCTATATTGTAACGGACAAAAAATCGAGATCCTGAATCATAATTAGAGACGTGCGCATTGCTTTGCTTGATCTCGAGGGGTCACTTACCTGATGCCGATGGAATATAAACCGAAATAATTGAGGACTGTCTTCCTAGTAAACGATCGGCCTTACTGTCATTAGCTTTGGCAGCTGGTGAGTGTCCATGGCCTTCGAAGGCTTCTTTGTCTAATTTTGGCGATCTAAATGTAAATTGTGTACTTTCTGGATGAGGAAACTCTGGATGCATTTTCAACTCCCATTGTGAAATGATATTTAACTTGATTCCTTTATGCGCCGGCATCTTGATTAAATTAATAGAGATGGCAGATTGAGGAAAATTCGAGGATATTGAAGGTAATGAAGGTGTTGAAATGGTATCGCGAGATTTGTTCGTACAATACCTCTTTGGAAATGGTATGGATGCGAATCAAGGAGTAGAAGTGAATGGAATGAATTGATATGTAAATGTGAATGTGAATGTGAATGTGAATGTGAATGTGAATGTGAATGTGAATGTGAATGTGAATGAAATTAAAATTCGATTTAGAGAATACCATGCGACACGTAAAAGTTGAAGTTGCCATATTAGGAAGTAACGAAGACAAAGTTGACTTCACTTATCGGATGTGAATCATTTTTACTTCACTCAAAACAAAACACGAAGATTTTGACTTCACTTCACTTCCTCATGTTATCATCTCATCTGATACTAATTGGATGAGAATGAGGTGATGATGCACTAAATATTGTTGTCTCATTGTCAATTGCCTCCTCCCTCCAGATTTCTTCAATGCTCGACTTTTTATTAATACTGATAATGGTTGAATCAGAATCTTCTCTGATATTGAAGTATGGAGCAAAGATTCAATGTATCAACGTTTACAGACTGTGCAGACGGAAGTATCACATCAAATTCCACTCTCCTTCTTCTCTCGCTTATCACCTTACTCGGTACGTATCAGACATGACATGAGAATGATTCCCGTCCGCCAAAACTCGATTTTAGATGAGACATGCACGTAGAAAACTCTACAAGAGAATCATCAATAGAGAGAATCTCACAAGAACTAAGCTTGAAGATATGCAGAAATTTAAGAGATGTTCTCAGTGAGAGTCCGGTAGAGGACGACGACCTCGCCCGTGCCTGTTTGGAAAGCTTAGATAAAATTAAGCAAAAAGATTCGGAAATGGGTATAGTCATCTGAATGATTTTCCTACTTTATGCCATTCATCCCTAGCCCAAAATGACGATAGAAACATATAACGCTGTGACTACCTCCCAATACTCTCGACAGAATATGAGGCCTGCCATTTCTAACCATATACCCAAAGAAGAGTTTATATGCGACTGTGACATCCTAAAAACAGACCTGCAAAAGAAATCTACCTACCAAAACCGAGAAATAGGCAACTTGTTAGCCTAGAGGTGTATCTCACCTTCCTTCCCCAGGATTCAGAGAATAATCACCAGTGTCCATTTCAAATCATGCCCTTCGAACTGAGAACACCGTGGGAATACTTTTGCAAGTACTGGCATTGATCATGATCGCTCCTAATATACAACCTCCCCCAAATTCTGCCCGCAGTTCTCTCACTTTGTTCCCAGCACCTTCTTAGTATCTTCTTCCTTATCCAGCAAGCCCAAATTCCTTACCACTCCTGCCTTTGGCGCATCATGTCGAGGGTTTGCTTGTTCGGCTTTATGATATGCGGCTTGAATTGCAATTGTTCTCGCATGCTAGTCATAAGAGATACTGGGTCAGTGAACGATTCGAGGGTTGCTGCTGAATCCTGCGGAGCTATGTAGCGAATGAATACCAACCTCCTTCTTGTGATGTAGGCACTCATAGTAATCCTCTAACACTGGTGCGCACACCTTCTTTCCTGCATCACTTTCTGTAGAAGTGTTGACGACGTAACAAGCTAAGACTTCTTGCCAGAAAGGAAAGCATCGGGAAGGACCTGGAGAGCCATTTGTTAGCCATTGAGCCCATTTAAAATGTCCATTATCTGCCATTCATTCCACCGAAAATTAACACATACCACCAGCGAGACCATAACCAGATGCCATCGTTTGCGTTTGATTGTAGATTTTGGGAGGGGTGAGACTGTTAATGTGACGTTCAACTATAGCAAGTTATCAATTCACATTAGCCATGAAGGGTAACAGGGGTGATATGCATATATGCCTTAGATGTTAGGCTACAAGTAGCTTAGAATGGTAGAACTTCGGTTGGAAGCTTGTCCATCTCGAACCAGATAGCTTGTTGCTTCCCAACCAAATATTAATTTCTCACATTCAGGACCTCATATTCAGGAAATACACACATATAAGTGTGGCCGCAGATAAGTGTAGTCATGGCAAACCTACACTTGGAACCTGGGAAGGTTCTCTGGATTGCTGTACAAAGTACATCCAAAGGTAATTTACGACTTCTACGAACTCTTGTGTCGCGATATCGAAATGTTCTGCGCAATGATCTTATTTTCCGCATACTTCTTACCCATCTTTCAGAGTCTTTGGATCCTTCCAACTATGTGCCACTTATACAGGATCTCGTATCGGAGAATCTTAAGGACGATCCCAAAGATACGATTGATTTGAGTGAGATCAAGGGAATTAACCCCGCGGAAGATAATATGAAAGCTCGGAAACTACACCTTCTCCCTCTATTATGGAAAGATGCGCCGTTGGATGTCCCCGAAGATCATCTGGTTATGTTTTTGATGCAACGAGCATTACGTATTGACTCAGAAACTGGTTTGCTGAGTCAAGTCCCAGCATTATTGGCACCTTTCTTATCCCATTCATCGTATCTACGAACCTGGACCATTTCCACCATTTTACCCCTCCTCCGTCTCAATTGCGAATATCACCCGGACACCCAACCGATTCTCACCATACGCGAGTTTGAAGCTTTGGATGATATCAAAGGAACGAAGCATTTGCTATCAAGAACAGGGAAGGATTCTAGTACATCGGGCGAGGAGAATAAATCTATAGGACGAGACTTGCGTGGAATAATTGGGCCATGGCTTTATGGAGACAATAGATGGAAGCAAAGAAAAGTTCAGAATGAGGTTTCAGGGCAGTCACAAGCAGCAGCAGCAGCAGCCACTTCGTTGGAAAAAGCAGGAATCATAAATCATAAATATGCTGGTTGGGAATTGATATTTGCATGGATTACTGCTGAAGCAGGTATATCATGGGAAACGGCCGTGAAAGCCATAGAACAATGGGATGGACCGGGAGACGTAGATCTAGGAGGTTTTGAAGATGGAACGCAATGGTTGGACGAAGAAGATCAACGGCATTTAGAGCAACGATACGCAAAAGCAGCTCTTGCCACAGCCTATCTTGTGCCTGAAAGCTCCATTGAGGCTTTGACAGGTGTTCATCGAATTATTTCCCGTATCATCACATTACTTGATCTTGATAAGATGCCTACATTGGAGGCAGCTGCTGCCATATTAAATCCTGTGCCTAGCTTCGAGAAAAGTAACCATTTGTCCCTCACGAACGCAAAATATCTTCGAAACGATCATTTGGAAGAGGAGAATACTTTGACGAAACCAAACGAACCATCTATTAATTTACTTCGGGCTCTACTTATTAGTGCATATCTTTTTACAAGAGTAGGAGAGGGATGCACCGTTAAGAGAGCTGGAGAGCTTGCTTTGCTTCAGGATGAACGTGAGCAAATGATCGCATTCAGGGCATTTATCTCCGTAATCAATAACCGCCCTGGTCGTGACGATCGATTTTGGAACAAACTGAGGAATGAATTATTATGGTTACGGAACTGGGGAGTAGAAGAGGTTGAGGACTTCACCAGCACCAGTCATGGAAGAGGTGTCTTCGGCCAGCTTGCTAAAGAGTTTATCGAAATGGAAGTCTTCAAACTTCTTCTTGCCAATCACCGTATGTTATTTCTCCAACTTCCGCACCATGTCCTTTCAATTGTTGACGATCATCTCAATTAGAATATACGCTTGCTCAATCTATTTATGAGACCTCACCCGAAAAGTCGTTTTCGAAGGAGCTCTTGCAGAGTGCCATCTTCACCGCAGCCGAAAACGCCTACGATAATGCCTCAAATCCTAACAAATCTAGAGGTGGTGTCAAGAAATGCAATGACATGTAAGTTTTGAGTTCTCTATTTTATGTATATTCATGGACCCATTACCTCCCTTTCAACCTCCCACAAACCGCCTCTCTACCATCAACCCCAACGAGGTAGGAGTTTCATGTCAGTCAAAACTATTGGTTGGTCCACAACGAAAACATACAAGTTATCAAATCACTAGCCATTGAACCGTGATAGGATGACTGGATCTACAAACCAAAAATATGGACCAATCAAATGTGGAAACTGATCCGAGAATTCTGTCGGAGGTTGGCTGATGGGAGTGAGCTAAGATGATAATAGACGAGCGGCAATTCTTTCCATGATTGCTAACATTGTTTGCAAGTCTCAATGCTTTCCCAGATACCATACGAGGCCATCCCCGAGCTCAAGAACTGCACAATCTCATACTCGTCACAGATGAGATAGGCAAGTACAGTTTAGTGTTAAAACAAGGACAACCTTTCCTACCAGTTAGTTTACGTGTGAGCGGTGATCCTTTATCAATCTTGAATAAGATGCTCGAACAGAATGATAAAAGCTATACACAAATCAATGATTTTGTACGCATGGGTCAAGGAATGGTCAAGGCAGGTTTAGCCTTACAACTTCCAGAGGGGACATCTGCCGAGTCTGATGCTTCAGAGCTGGAAGAAAAACTAAAAGTCGTTGAAAAGCGTGTAATCAGTATGTGTATTGATGCTGCCCTCGCGGAAGACGATTTCGAAACGGCTTATTCCTATGTCGTTACCCGTCTCAAAAAAATTGGTCGCCAAGCACATTGTCGTGCTCCAGAAGTTGAGGGAACTAAAGCCGCATTATTTTCTCAAAGCCAACCTAAGAGAATTGACGATTGGTCATGGCGAGCAGCTTTACAAGCAGGCAAATATCGTCGAAATGCTCAAACGATACGAGCCTCTCACCTCGGTAATACTAGTGGAAATCCAGATATTAGACATTTACAACAGAGGATGGATTGCTTGGCTCAAGCTCTACGACTGGCGCCAAAGAACACTTTGCAGGAGATCCTCAATGCGTATCGTAGATGTGAGGAAGAACTCGAAACACATCTCAGACAAGAGGCAGAACAGGAGGAAGCTTGGGATGAGAAGGGTGACATCAATAATATGCCAGGTGGTTATGCGGCTACACCTATCAGAAAATACACCAATGTCAGGACTATCCGGAGGAACAAGAATGAAGAGGCGCCTCTATCCTTCCTTGATCTCTCAAAAGAAAGTATCACTCGTGCACAGACAGGATTATCCGCACTCTCAATGTTCAGGGGGAAATCACAACGTGCGGACCCGTTGAGTGATAACCATAACATGCCCATGCAAATAGATGAACCTGATCCAGCTCCAGTTCTTACTAGAACTTCAAGTGAAAGAACCTCGATTAGGAAGAGAGATCAAATTCGAAATGCTGCTGTCGGTACCTTAGCTGGTGGGATTGGTTGGTTGATCAACGCGCCGTCAGTTCAAAACTCTAATGCTGAATCATCCGCACGTGGAAATGAGCATTCGAGAAACTCGAGCGGAAGTGCAAGTAATAGTCGCGAGGGTATTGAACAGAAAGAGAAAAAGAAAGACAAGGAAGAAATTCTTTGGGATAATGAGGATGAATGGTAAATTAAAAGGAATGGAGTATTTTCATTGTGTAAATATGGATTTTATTGGAACTTTGGCATAGTTTCATACACAATGGCTGGAGGACTTGCATGAATACACCATAACCAAGAGCTGGAACGGATGGGATGGCTGGGATGGCTTGATTGGAAACTGGAGTACTGTCTTTACCATTTTAATGCTCTATTTTCATCAAAGGAATGAATATGTTAATTACTCAAACGACTTACTGTCCCTGTTATATAGAATGGTTGATAAATTCATTTATGAATGTAGCTTACTTTATGGTCGAAGTTCTATTCATGATTTATCAGCGGGAAGACCCAGCCTCGAATACTGTATGATCAAACGGTGGAACGAACCCATCATACCATTATCATCATTCTTATAAGGTTACCTACCATCTTCAGGGTGCATTGCAAGCGTTGCAGTAACTTCACACTTCTCATGGTCATATTTATCGGCGAGTATATGTTGCAAGGTATAGGGTATAGGTAAATGTTATATCATTATATTATAATTCTCTAATCCTAATCCAAGCCCTAATCCTAATCCTATTCCTATTCCTAATCCTAATGCAAATACAGACAGACATCCAGAAAAACAGAATAGAAAAACAGACATCCTCGAATCTCGAATCCATTCACAACACGGTATACATGTACCAGCACCAATTCTAAGCACAGGTATGCGATAAAGTCGAGCTGGATATGCTATACGGATAGTTACCAGCTGCTGTCTTGGTTGCTTTTGTTGTTGGAGGTTTGAGGTCTGAGGTGTGGTGATGGTATGGTTGGTATGGTATTGTATTGTGCCTTGAGTAAATGCTGGCGGCATATGCTGGTTGGTATCCCGTTTGATGTGCCATGCGTATGTCATGTGAGGGACTTTACAGTATGCACCCATCCCACTTGCCATTGTCTGAGAAATGGGATTACCGCCATGTTTAAAGGAAGTTGCCTCCAGTACTGCACTGCACTGCGTACGCTGGCTGGTATCGTTTTTGGCGGTGCTAGTACCGGTATGTCATGCGTATGACGTCGACACGTGAGGAGGGACGTTACAATGCAGCGTGTACCCCACTTCTTAGTGCTGAAACTGAAATACAACGACCGATGCCTCTTGCATTGCAATGCAATGGAATCCTCTGATGCTTGACCGTTCAATTGAACCATGTTGGAACTTGGACGGGAGCCATTTGTGACAGTGGACCGTTGCATCCTTCTCTCTCGGGCACAACCGCAGGACCAGTGTTGAAGAGTCCAAGGAGGACTTTTGGCTTCAAGGGAGAAACTGGTGGTGTGGTGTTGAGAGTCCAAATGGTTCTCAGTTGCTCCTGTCGACCTTTGCATTTTAGTCGAGGGTGCGAGAATAATCGACATAATCTTCGTTGGTTTGCTGGGCCGAGACCAATGAGTGATGAATTGGCTCGTCGTGGTCGCCAATTCCTACTTCATTCGGAATGGCTGGCGGATCGCATAAACAGAAGGTAATCCATATGGGCTCACATTGCTAGGGACTTCATGCCTTCGTTCTGTTGTCATTGGGTTCATCGCGATTCGTAGATGATGTTTCGGACTTTGGACTGGACCATGTTCGAATGAATTTTTTGGCATGGTTGTGTTCAGGGTATGTCATTTGACCCAAGTGGGCCATTTGATCTTGTACTTGTATAGCTTGAGCAGCAGCGGTTTGGCTTGCTGGAATGGGAACATCAAGCATGGCCCAAGAATGCTGACCATTCTCGGGGCTTCCATTAAACAGTCCATTCAAGCAGTCCCTAGCAATGTGAGCCCATGGGCCATGGGCCATTTAGGCGTTAGTATGAATTATTCATGAAAGCTCTCTTTCAACTCGGAATCGTTGGCGGATACACAGAAGGCAATCCATATGGGCTCATATTGCTTGGGACTGCTTGTACATAATGTAATGGAGGCATAAAGTCCCTAGCAATGTGAGCCCATTTGGTGCCTGTTGGCCATAGGCCATTGAGACATTATTAGTATGAATGATTCATAAAAGCTCTCTTTTAACTCGAAAAGGCTGGTGGATAGGCAGCAGGTAACCCATATGGGCTCACGTTGGTTGGGACTGCTTGTACGTAATGCAACGGATGCATGAAGTCCATCATCCCTGCGCGATGATCCGGTGGTGGGATCAAAGGATTGGCTTCCTCGTACCCAGGGAATATCGGCGCCTGTTGGCCATGGACCATTGAGGCGCTGGTAGTATGAATTATTCATAAAAGCTCACTTTAACTCAAACAATGAGTACTCGGGACTAGTCCCTCAAGGCAAGGCCTTTATAACCAGGATAGATCGGTGCCTGTTGACCATGAATCATTAAAACGTGTGGAAACCTGCCCCCGTTGTATCCATCGTAAGTGAGGTTGGAACCTCATTGGAGATCGCTGGTGGATCTCCAATCAAGCTTTAAGTAGTATGAATGATCCATGAAAGCTCTCTTTCAACCTTAAAAATAAGTACTCGGGACTAGCCACTCAAAGCAAGGCATTCATGCCGAGCCATGTCTAGCTGCTCCTTCGCCTGTCTCTTCAACTGGCGTGTTAGGCTCAGTATTTTGGTTTTGCAGGGTCGTCTCCCGTAAGGAATGGTGAAGAGAAAACACAGTCAATGATGATATTGAGACTGGTCATAATATGGAAACATCGAAGGCGAGAAGGACGGCAATGATGCTAGACCTATCAATGGTATCGATTGACGGTGTTCCAAAAGCGAGATTGAAAAGTTGATTTGTTTGGTCTGCGGAGGCGGAGGAAGATGATGATATAAATGCTTGGTAGGATCAACATCGGCAACTGAACTTTCCAAGTGGAATGTAGTCGTAGAAGGTCTTGTCGTTAAGTCTACCGATACCATTAGTTTCTTCACAACTATTCACGCATTAAATGGACATACTTCAGGAGTACTCACTCTCAGACCATTAAATCTTCTCCAACCAACACCCCCCGTCCCTCCAAAAGTTTGGTCGCCACGATCTATGAGAAATTCTGGTCTTTGGAAATGATTTGCAGAAGGTATACAAGGAGCAACAGCCTGTATGGGAGCAAATCGCCAGGAGAAACTGCTGGAGAATTTAAGGTCTTTGATGGCACCAAGGACCCGTTGGATAATTCTTGCGTGGTCTTTTGCCTTTCGAACCCAGCATGTTGTGATTTATATCTTTGGGTGGTTCGAAATAGAGATGGGACCTTCAAAAAATCAGCTTTGATAAGGTATTCTCATCGCGCGAATCAAAAGTGCTTCATTGAAAAATAAATAGAAAAGCAAAATTAGTAAAGTCGAGGGAATACTTACAGATCGAATTGTGATACGAAAAAATCGGAGTGATGGAGGGACATAGTGATGAGTGTCTTTTGAATTATATTCCAGGACCAGAAAAGATGTGTACAAGCCGTGATACGAAAGAATCAAAGTAAAGGAGGGACACAGTGATGTGTATCTTTTGGATTATATTTCAAGATCGAGAGGTGTTTATGAGTCCAGGAAGATGATAAACAAAATCAAAAGTTGAGTGTGCCGAGACTTACAAATTTTATGCCAAGCAGGTGTTTTAGTTCGTCCTCTAACTGTCTAAGTGGGCGCTAGACTAGATAGTGTTCTATCACTTTCTCCGGCTTAAATCCATGTCAAATATGGTCGCTTTCGGCCTTAATATACTACGCTATCCCCAAAGACGCTCAATTATAGCATATGATTGGGTCCCACAGCCTAGACTACTTGGCCCGGCTCAATAATCCGCTTTAAAGCTACCTTCTAATTGGCCAGGGCTCTTTGCCCTACCCTTGATCTGGATTATAGCCTGATAATAATGTTTACTAGTGCTGAAATAATTTTCTTTCTTTCCTGCTAACTTCAAAGAACTATTCCTATTCTCAAAACTTACATGAACAACTCTCTCCTTTCTCGGATAAACAAAGGTCCGCTCGAAGCGACAAGACCCCTTAAAGATATCACAACACTTTTAGTTTTTGAATTGATGGTAATTGTTTCTATTGATTTTATTGATGATTTTGACTATGTTACTGTTGCTGTTTCTTTTGATGGAGCCAAACATAGATCGATCTTGAATATTAGTACGAAAGAAATTCTTCAAATTGACGGTGACAACAACAACAACAACAAATTTGGTGTTGGCTATAGTGGAAGGTATGATTTATTTTTAATTCATGGACTGCACAAAGTATACTGATGAGTTAAGATGTAGGTAGTGGATACTTTGATGGTGGAGGAGCGATTCGTACGAGCTTACTCACATTGGGTTACTGGTATCAATTTCACCAAGCGCAAGAGAACTTGGACTTCCGACACCGAAGAAGACGAAGAAAATTACTCTATTGCACTGCTAAATCTGCTTCTCGGCCTTGGATCGACCAGGTATGTCATCAATTAATACTTTTATTCTTGCCCTCACTGACCGAGGTACCTACTAGATTTCAACGTCAACAATATACCGATTTCCGCAAGTTATGGAATCATGGAGAATCTGAACGAAGGTGTGCCAGTGATAATCTTGGTGCTGAATACTTGTGTCGTCTCTTCGGTAAGATATCCAGTCCTTTTTGCACCAATTGATATTTTTCGAAATATACTCATACATTTCACACAGGGTCACCACACCGAAGGCTAAGAAGCCAAAAGACCGCCGATCCCAAGGCTCAAATCATAACTTTGTTGATTTTTCTACGATAATTGCCAATCGTCAAGCGGGGATTTAATCCTAGCTTCTCCACCCAGAATGATGGTCAACACTAGTTTATGGTCAAATGGATTCGGTGGATATATCAATACTCGAATTCCTCAATTTATTCAAACATCTCAATTGCCATAAGAACGCGAATATTGATCGTATTCTCGAGACGACGAGCCTTCCAAAGAATCAATCACCTCCTCTACCAACCTGACAATGGAAGTTCACAGGGCGATGCCCAAGCACCAATACTTCGAGGTGATAATCTTGAATTACAGGAGCAACACGCACAAGCACTGCACCCTTTATACTGGTTTTCCGGTCTGGTACCTTCTCCAAAATCCTTCGAAGATTGCGTCACTCCCGCCAATCCGTGCACGCTTTTCGCCTCGCAAACCTCCATCTTCAGCATTGTAATCATACCCAGAAAACTGGCCACCTGTTTCTTTCGACAAACAGGTTTGGTAGCTAAAGCTTTAGGAAGTCCCCGCAGTTGGGAGATGTAGCCACTACGTTTCCCGTACAAAAACCGAATCCCCAAACTCTTTCCATACAACGCTCCTTGCCAATCTAAGAACATCTTCATCTTCTCCTTCTTCCACCAATGTTCCAAGCAATATGGCTGCTTGTCAGACAAGCTATGATTCCATAGTTTGATTTAATGCAGAGAAAGCCAATTCACCACGGAGAAATTTAAGAGGAGCTCACATTTTTTGATTCCATTTGCAACTCCAGATGGCTGGTTCATCAAAACGTCCATTAACCTGTTCTCGAAGAAGATAGACAGGAATTTCTTCCTATCAGCCCCATGAAAAACCTTTTCCTGGGGCAATTACCAAGCACATATGTGCATGGACCAGGTTCCATCTGCAACTCCAGATGGTTCATCAAGACCGGCGAATCTCACCATCATCAACAGCATCCATCACCCATATCCTAACATCTTTGCACCTATTCCTCAACAACCAAACATCCTCGGACCTCCAGACCCTCATCTACGAATTGATACCATACCTCGTCAGGCTATGGAATGGATTCCAGACAGTATTCCATGTCTGCAGCTACGATTACTTCCCGTCCATTATCTTGGTTTATTCTTAAAGTTGATAGACGGAAATAAAACTTCCCGTCAGCCCCATGAAGGACTGTTTTCCAGAGGGCGACATGGGGACATCAATTACCAAGCACGTATGTGCATGGATTGGATTGGATTCCATCTGCAATTCTAGATGTTTAATCAAGACTTCAATTGATCATCTTGATCATCCAATTAGGGGGGCCCGGGAGGGGGGCAGGGTGTTTCAAGTAAAATCCATCTATAAATGGAATCCTTAACCAACCCAGCACGAAATAAGTTCATGGAGGAAATTTCGGCGACCTCGATGCCGAGGGCACGCTTGCTTGTTGAGATAGTAAGATTATACTGCTCGAGTATATGATACTAAACTGAACTGTGTGGATTTGGATGGATACTGTGTGTAGTTTATAGATAGGGTATTTGTTAGATTAGATTAGATGGTTATTTGTTTGTGTAATTTATTTATTGATATGTAATTCTTACTTGAAAGCCTTACTGTAATTCATTCAGGTCCTTGTTTGGTATTTTTGTAGATTTGCTTTACTCATTTTAAACTTTGTGATCTATATCTAATATCTTCACCACAATTTCCTCGATACTCAGGAGTTGGCTGGCTCCTGGAAAACAGATAGCACGATTGTAGGACGAAATGAATTTCATATTCACATTTCTATTCATAAGTGATTGAAAGACTAAAAGAATGCAGCTAGCTAAATTGCCTCCAACTCAGTCATCCAAGAAGTAAAGTAACTTACCCAATACAATTATATAAGAGAATCCCATCACCGTGACTCTCCCCTCCACCAAATATCCTCATATTCCCAACTTTCCTACTCCCCATCCCATTCCTCACTCCTCACCGTGACTCTTCCCTTCACCAAATACCTTCATCTTCCCGACTTCCCTACTCCCTACCCCATCCCTCGCCTCCCCATCTCCATCCCCCAACCCCACCCCGCCCTCCTCGCCATAATCCAAAAATGCGGTTCCCTATCACACTCAGCCGGCGCCTGAAAATCCACTCTCTCTGTCCTCACAATCTCAAACCCATTATCCCCCAATAGTTTCTCCCACCCTTTTCTCGTATACAGCATATTTCCAAAGACTTGGCTCATGAATCGATGTGGAACATTGTCTGCTGCTAGCTGGGATATTCGTTAGGTTTGCGAATATTGATTTGAGGTGGATGAATTGATGGAAATATCCTCACTCTTTTCTCATCATACATTTCCTCCGTGGTCCCTACCATATCTTCTGCTAATACTGTGCTACAAGATAAGATGTAGGAGTCAGTAATTGATTGCCTAAAAATTAACGAAACAAAATCAGAAATGAATAAAGAATGAAAGCTATTTCTATACGACAGCCCCAACGAGCGCTCTCCAAAAGCCAAACACCACCCCCCTCAAATTAGAAACACCCACCCAATAAACAACCACCCCCTCCATTTCCCTGCCACAATCTCCATCTCCTCCCTTATAAAATGGAACAGAGAAAAAATCGCAAAAGCCGCATCAAATTGTTGACTCGGACGATACTGCAACATATCCACAAGTTCGAATGTGCCACCCAGCACATTGGTCCGAGAAAGTGAGATCATGGCGGGGGAAAAATCAATACCGTGGAGTTTACGGCCTGATTGCACGATAGAGAGGAAGGTGGGGATGCCGGTACCGCTGCCGATGTCGAGGACCTGTTTGGGGAGGGAGGGGGGTCAGGTTGGGGTTTTGTGCGTGGGATATGGAATATTGAGATTGAGATTAATGGGGGAAAGGGGCGGGGGAAGATGGGATGGGATGAGATGGGGGTGGGAATCTGATTTGAGGGAGTGGATTGGAGTGGAATAATTGGATTTTATAATGATCGAGAACTCCTACATCCAAATCCAATATCCAAGAAGTAAACACCTCCATATGCACCATTCAACCCCAAACAGCACCACAACCAGCTCATACAACTCTTCCTCATCCTCATCTTCCTCATCTCCCTCAAAGTCAAAGGAAATCAAGTACGAACGAACAATACCGGCCCAACCATAATCATACCAAAAGAAAAAACCCACAAACTAAACTTACCGATGCATTCGGAGATAAAAGCTCCAGACTCGATTTGATAAAGGCCAATAGTCCAGGATCATGTCCGTAATATTTATCGTATCTGTCACTTATGCTATCGTAAAATTTGGGTGCGTCGTTGATGGCGGCTGAGGTTGTGGTAGAGGAAGACATAGTATCGTATTGTGAGTGGATGGGTGGGTGGGGGTGTATTTTGCTGAGGGGATTTATATTTGAATTCGAGTAGATTGTACTTTAGACTGTGTTGTTGTTTGTACAGTATCAGTGGAGATCAAACTGATCAAACTTAAGATAAGAACATGAACAAGAACAATATTCAATTCAAGAAGCGGTGTAAATATGGTGAAACATTAGTTGTTAGTAAGAAGAGGACCATAGCATAACATCATATCGTATCATATGCAAGCCAGTGGCGAAAAGTTCCTAAGATATGCAACAATCAATGCCTTTCCCATAATCCATAATCCGTCTCTAATGCACAAGTCGATGTTTGGAGACAAGAGACTTGCGACACGAGGTAGTATTGCAGTAGTGATGTTACATTGTATATACTCGATTAACCGATCCAATTATCCTTCGTTCTGGTCCTCCCTGTTCAATAGATCATCTAGCCACTCCATGCTTGGAGTTACACAAATTATCTTCCTTCCAAGGTTGGGTTGTATTCCTCGTTGAAGCTCCCCAATGAAGGGAAATTACCCATACCAGCTCCTCTAGATTATTCCGGTAATATTTATAATCTTTATCATCCGAATAATGATAACTTGAAAGGGAAGAAGGAGAAAAATAATAAAAACCAGAAGAAGAATCGTGCGAGTCGCTAACAGCCAATATTGAAAGATTGAGGATTTTTGGAGAAGGCAAGAAGACGAAGAAGAAGAAGCTAGCTCAGACAGGTCTAACAAAAGCCATCTAGTACCTTCCTTCGAGAACAAACAATACTCGAGTAGAAGAAAAACTGTACCCCAGATAAATAAACAACTTGAATCAGGAAATCCTGAGTTAAATATCTAGTTTCTAAAAGATCTCCAATCCAGGTATTTACCGATACAAAATCATGACTACATCCTAGCTGGTATATTTGCCGAATTTGTTTCCCTGAAGTAAGTTTGGAAAGCCTCATAATAACAGACAAAGGGCCTCTTTATGATAATTGAAGCTCGGTGAGAAATACTTGAGAATTGGGTCCGAAATTGATATTTAAAAGGGGGTTCATTTGATTTTCGAGTCAGATTAGATGATGAGTAGGGCAATCATTCAAACATTCACTTGAATGTTTGTGTCAAAAGTCAACAAATCATTCATTGTGAGGGTAGATAGATACCTGTAAAGAAGATTGTATTGCTAAGAGTCCATAGGTGTGATCGATTGTATCTACAAAGAACACCCTCCATCTTCTCCTCTTATCAAAAGATCAAGAGTAAAAATTGTCTGTCCCAATGTCCAGGGAAATTTACAAAGGACTATCATATTCGTTCCGGCAGATGTGCTGACGAGAAGTAAGTTCCGTTCCCAACGATTGCATTGAAATCAAAAAGTAGATGGTTAGACTTTGGCCTAAACACATGCTTCCTTAAGCCTCATCGTCGTCCCATTCATGACTTTCAAGGTTCTTATTAGCCTCAAGCCTGATGAGACGAAGAGATCGGCGAGGTTTGATATACACCGAGTAGCCATCCTATCACAAACAAGTCAGTATTCATTTATCAATCAAATCTAGCTCCGTTCACCTGATATCACATAAGAATATCAACATACCTTCTTGTCCAATAGCTTGTGACCCATCTCTCTATCACTTAACTCCACACACTCATAAGGAATATCACCACCCCATCTCTCTTGCCACCTAGTATTCAAGATCTTGATTTTTTGATTCTTCCGAAAACAGCCCTCCTTTAATTCCAATAACTGGAGATTTCTCAAGCGGGAAACCATCTCAGTGGTGCTTTTATAGAGACACGGCTCGCCAAACATCAAGTACTTGAGCTTCTCTTCCATTTTCGCAATATCAAGACCTCGATTTAATGGAGTTGGAAATCTCTTCAGCATCTGTAAATTGCCTTGGAATAGCTTATTGGCGCGATCGGATTGAATGTAGAGGGTGTCCTTATCAAAGTTGAAGTATACGGGGTGTGGAAGACAGTGACTGAACTCGAGTTGGTATTCCTTCTGAGCGACTCTGCGGGCCAAGGTATTGACGTGTAAAAGCGCAGGCAGAGTTGTACTGACAACGATCTTTAGGCTCTTGTATTTACCATCTTGAAATAAATCTCTGTACCACTCTTGTGACCATCTATCCGGGGCGTCAAGAAGAGTTTCGACAGTTTTGACGGAAACGATGCGGCCTTCTGGGAGAGACTCTTGGAAGATCATCATTTGAAGTTCAGGGGCAAGTTTGCCGAATTGGTGAAATTGGGCTTTATGATTCATAGGACGACGGGGTCTGACGTAGGTTGAGACCTCGGTGGATTTGGGTCTGTTCTCGAGGAGATGTTGACAAAATTGGCTCATAATTGAGAAGGGAGCGAGGTATTCGCAGATGGTGAAAGGCGGTGGGTTTTTGATGCAAAGATCGAGGAACCTGCTTGGACAAACAGGGGCGTCTGGTAAAAAAAAAAAAAGTTAGAAGAAATAAAGTGATCCAACAAGAATATTCCACTAGCATTCTACCAAATACATGGAACTGAAAGGTATAAACCAGAATGCAGTATTTCCTATGTAGTAAAATCAAGCTCTTACCAGTAGAAAGATGGCGATCTTTGAAAAAGAGTACCGGGTCGCGTTTGCAAAGAGTTGTAAAGTTGAAGAGGAAAACGAAGATGATGCCATCTCAAAGATGATCGTGGCCATGTTTAAGTAGAATAATTCGACGCGTCGATAAGTTGAAGCGCGAATTATGAACATCTCAGCCTTGAAATTCCACTTCAAAATAGTATGTGTAGCCTTGAGTACGGCTGGAATTTTGCTTCTTTTCTTTCTTTATCGAGATCTTTCAATTTCGCGAATTACCTTGATGAGAACATGAGTGAGTGAGCCGATAAGGAAGAAGTGAATATATAATGTGGTTGTGGTTGTGCTTGTGATAGCCTCGGTAGCCTTGTCGTTTGCTCTTGCCGTTAATACCCCTACCTACCTACCTACCTAGTCTAATCTGAATAGGTACTTGCAGCACTAGTCCCACGGTCTCGTGATATGGTAAAGATTCACTCTCGAGGTCTTGTGGAAAGTGTTTTACGCTGATAAATGTTTGAGAAGAAGAGAAAACTGTATAGCCTGATGGGTAGGTGTAATGATGCAAGCAAAGCATCAAATCGATCCGTTATCCACTTCGACCTGCAACAATGAGAAGTTTTCTGGCCCATTATTTATCTTATCTTTATCTCGAAGCAAACTTGCCCAAAGAATGAGGATTATAGGTGTATAGTAGATAGACAATGAGGAGTTCTCCTTCCTCAGAGCTCCAGCTCAAACATAAATAAAGAAGCATTTCCGTTTTTCTAATGTCCAATCCAACCGAAACCCAACCACCGAAAGCTTCAGTTCCTTTGACGTCCAGTCCAACCGAAGCTCAACCATCGAGGCTTTCCGTTCTTCTAATGTCCAGTCCAATCGAAACTCAACCATCGAGAGCTTCCGTTTCTTCAACGTCCAGTCCAACCAAAAACTCAATCATCGAGGGCTTCCGTTCTTCTAATGTCCAGTCCAATGGAAACTCAAACATCGAAGCTATCCCATTTTCCAATATTAAATCAAGGCTGAAGGATTCGATCACAATCTGGAAGGTTGTTGTCGAATCGAGAACATTTATGATAGAAGGACAGCTCAATGCTCTGGAATAGAGATCGAAAGAATATACATCTATCCATCCTTCCAGCCAGACAACCAACACGACAGGTAAACCGATTCAATATGAACATATGCTGCAGGTTCAACGTTTGGCCCAGTCAACGAATTTAAAGGAGTAGCGGTCGTGTATGAATCAGTGGTCATTTTTGTTCATATTCAGGGCCAAATACAACCGTTGCTTCTTCACAGTGGTTCAATTGATTTGAAGGTTCCGGTCCCTCGACTTTTGACGGATATCTGCCACCATCTTCTCATTCATCGGACAAGGGATACCCAGCTTATTTGCTCTTTTCACAATGTACCCATTGATAGACTGAATCTCGGTTTTCCTACCATTACTAATATCTTGAAGCATAGAACTCCGATTTGAAGCAGTGACTGAGGCAACATCGAGAACGATATTTCGCAAGGTTTCAGTCGAGAATCGTTCTTTCAAGCCTGAAATTGCTTCAAGTTCCGGTAGTGAACAGAAGACTCGACTTATCTCAGATACTAAGTCGTCAAAAATGTTTCCCATATCCGCAAGAATGAGAGACTGCACAATCTTGCCGTTTATACAATCGTGAAGAGCAGTGAGGGGATTGATTACAGCGTTCACAGCCAATTTTTGCAATTGAAGTAGTCTGAATTCATCCCAAGGAACTTCGCTCGCTTGGAGAAGCTCAGAGTCAACAACTTGTTGCAAGAGATAGCTACTGGCTGGAGACTTCTCTTTATCAATCTCAGGATTCCCAATGGTGACGTTACCATGACCAGCAAGAACCGCCGCGAATGGGCTACTTCTGTAGACACCGTGAGATGCTATACCAAATAGGTAATGTGGTCTGTCTTGAGCATCCGGAAAGACAAATTTGTTGACATCTTCGATAACTCCCATGCCATTGTGTATGAAAAGTACAGTAGACGTAGCGGTTAATCGAAACTTGATACTGGAAAGAGCCTCAACAATTTTGTGAGCTTTTGTGGTCACAATCAAGTTGGATATCGTTTTTGAAGGGTTTTGATGACCAGTAACCCTACTGAATATAAGTTCCGTATCGTAATGACCCTCTTCATGCCAAGCACCTTCATAATAGATCCCGATCTTCGTTTCCTTGTGTTTTCTCATATGGAATAGTTGTGGGCGATGTAGCAATAAAGTAAGAGGAGGGGGCTGAGGTTTTGTAGCCAGTGAGTGTGCGCACAGTTTTCCAATGTTTCCAACACCCAAAATGTGTATAGTGGGAGACATTTCCGAGTGATTTGAATTTTGATCAGGTTGATGCAGTAAATCAATACCGGTATTCAGTTGAGCTAATGGTATCGAGGAATGGAATAGACGTTTCTGAAGTTTTCCAAAGCATGGTAGCTTAGGATGTCTGAAATAGGAGAGGATCATTGTGTTGTTGTTTGGGTTTAGATCTTGCTATCACAGTGAGGATAAGTTTGATATGATTTGTATGATGACTAATTCACCTGCACAGTTAGCATGTGATGCTAACCGTACTATTCCTTGAGCCTTACCTACCTAGGGAGTTTTCTCAATGAACCCTTCAGGTACTATCCTCAAGGCTCAAAGACCAATACTGAGTAGTAGAACTTCAGTAAGAAGATACAAGTCAGCCTCCTTATGAAGGGGGATAAGTCAATAGGTAGAAAGATAGTGATGAGTAAATATGTGTATCGAATAAGAATAAGAACAAATCTCTCTAGTATTTCAGCCTATCATAATGGAGTGTGAAATTAAAATGCTCTGACTGGTGGAGGATGTGAAAAGAGCGATAATTGGGGTGAAACTAGCCACTGACATGTGACCTTAACTTTCACTAGCAAGAATTATTGTAGGAAAGAACTCTTTAAGACTGGATAAGTGATTTGATATGGATCCTTGAAATATCATTCATCTCATTAGTCATCTACATTCCATAATACCGATGATCATTAATTACAATCAAAATAGAAGTCAATATAGAATGACTAAATTCACACCGTAATTTATTTATCAAACCACACCCAAAGATCATCAAGGAAATAATATGGTCTGCCGCTCTTACACTTTTACACTGAGAAAAACCCCACCAAGAGATTTCTCCCCACCATTCTTACGCTTACGATAAACCTGAAAAAAAGGTCGCCTCGACAAAAAAGAAAAGAGAGAAATCAAAGAAACTCTCTCCTTCACACATCGATTATTATCAATATAATTTCATACACATAATCAAAATGGTTTCAGCATCAAAAGCCGCTCGTGATGCGAAGAGAGCTGCTGATGGCAAGCCTGGAAAGAAGACTGTTGCCTCTAAATCAAAGGCTGGTTCCAATACTGCATCCGGTACCACAACGCCTGGCGAAGTAGCCGTCGACGCAGATGGAAACCCTCTTCCCGATGACACACCTGCGACAAAGAACATGGATGAAGTGAAGAGATTGGCAGCACAAATGGATAAACATGGTCTCTCCGATCGTGTCACAACCGGTGTCCTCAGTTCGCTCAAGCAAAGTCGTGATGTAAAGATTACTTCTGCATCGCTGGTGTTCCATGGTCGTGTTCTCTTGAACGATACAACACTCGAACTTACATACGGACGTCGATATGGTCTCTTGGGAGAGAACGGTTGTGGAAAGTCCACTCTCCTCAAGGCTATCGATATGCGCGAATACCCAGTCCCAGATCACGTCGATATCTACTTATTGAACGAAGGTGCTCCTCCCAGTGATCAAGGTGCCTTGGAATGGGTCGTCAGAGAAGCAGAGAACGAAATGAAGAGACTTGACGACGAGGCAGAGCGATTATTGGAGGAGGAAGGACCCGAAAGTCCGGTTCTTTTGGATCTCTACGAGGTAAGATTATTCAGACAAAAGATACACTTTATACCTTACTAACTGATGATAGCGTATGGATACCATGGATCCATCTACTTTCTCTACTCGTGCCTCTCTCATTTTGACCGGTCTCGGTTTCAATAAGGTTACCATCAACAAGAAGACCAAGGATATGTCTGGTGGTTGGCGTATGCGTGTGGCTTTGGCCAAAGCTCTTTTCGTCAAGCCTTCCCTTCTCCTTCTCGATGACCCTACCGCACATTTGGATTTGGAAGCCTGCGTCTGGTTGGAAGAATACTTGAAGAAATGGGACCGAACTCTTATCCTTGTCTCTCACTCCATGGATTTCCTCAACGGTGTTTGCGCCAACATGATCGATATGCGTTCAAGACAACTCATCTACTATGGTGGTAACTACGATTCTTATGCCAAGACTCGATATGAACAAGAAGTCAACCAAATGAAGGCCTACCAGAAGCAACAAGATGAAATTGTTCACATTAAGAAATTCATTGCTTCAGCTGGTACATATGCCAACTTGGTCCGACAAGCCAAATCCAGACAAAAGATTTTGGACAAGATGGAGGCCGATGGTTTCATTCAAAAGGTTGACGAAGATCGTGTCTTCACTTTCCGTTTCGCAGATGTCGAGAAGCTTCCACCACCAGTCTTGTCATTCGACGATGTTACATTCTCATACTCTGGTGATGCCAAGGATGATCTCTACCAACATCTCGACCTCGGTGTTGACATGGACTCCCGTACTGCTCTCGTTGGACCTAATGGTGTTGGTAAATCAACTCTTCTCCGTCTCATGACCGGAAAGCTCTCCCCTACTGGAGGAAACGTTTCTCGTCACACACATTTGAAGATGGGTGTTTACTCTCAACATTCTTCGGAACAATTGGATCTTACCAAATCCGCCTTGGAATTCGTTAGAGACAAGTATTCTTCCAAGAGTCAAGATTACCAATACTGGCGTCAACAACTTGGAAAGTATGGTCTCAGTGGTGAATCTCAAACTGCATTGATGGGTACTCTTTCCGAAGGACAAAAGTCCAGAATTGTGTTTGCTTTGTTGGCTATTGATGGACCTAACATGTTGTTGTTGGATGAGCCTACCAATGGTTTGGATATTCCTACTATTGACAGTTTGGCTGATGCTATCAATGCGTTCACTGGTGGTGTTGTTGTTGTTTCTCACGATTTCAGGTAAGGATTTCTCACACAAGATGACGAAAAGGGAAAAAGATGCTAATATTATATAGATTGCTCGATAAGATTGCTAAGGACATTATGGTATGCGAGAACCAAACCATCAAGAGATGGGGTGGTACAATTGCCGAGTACAAGAACCACTTGAGAAAGAAGATGGTTTCTGCAGGTGCTGTCTAAAGTGGCTATATATTACCAAAACTCGTTTACAATATCCCGTCCAAACAAAAGTTTGATTGACGCATCGACGGACGACTTGACATATGGGCGCTATTCACTAAGGGCATCTCTCACGACCCAAACTGAGGAGTTCGCGGAGGGATTGGGGTGGTACATGATGTTGAAACATCACTTTTGGTGGGATAGAATGCGAGTCTGTTTAGATAGCGTCAATTGGTGCAAATTACCAAAAGCAAAAAATTATTAAACTGTATTTGTTTTTATATGATGAATCAATGCTGATGATTATTTGGCCTTTTCAAAGGTAAATAATGATCTGCTGCTAAGATTGAAGTCTTGTATATGCAACTTGATTGATATTTTGCAGTCGCGGGAAAGTAATCACAGGCACAGGAAAGCCTAGCAGAATTGAATCACCAACATATAGCTTGTGTGTTGATACTCATTGATAAATACCTAGGTAGGTAGGTAGGTAGGAATAATCTGAAATGAAAGGAAAGGAAAGGAGATATAGAGTTTAGCCCCCAAATTGTTGATGTGTGTGTGATGCAAGTGAAGTGATGGATGTGAAAATATAGTTTGGTTGGTGGCGTACGGAGTAGACGGGGAATCGGGGATGAGAAGTGAGTGGGGTCTTGGAAGATGGATGGAGGGAATTATTAGGTTTGGGTGGAGTGAGTGAAGGAAGGGCAAGTGAAGTGAAGTGAAGTGGAGGGGTACTAAGGGGATGTGAAAGAAAGGAAAGGAAAGGAAAGAATGAAAGAAGGCTATGAAATGATAATGTATGAAGTATTATAAATTTGTGTTATGTTTAGAGTGAAGATAAATCTTTCTTCTTTGTTAATTAAGTTTTTACTTGTACTTTATATGCAGGGGGGTTGATTCACATATTCTAACCATTCTAGACCCTTTAATCAACCAATCATATTTCACTAAAGATGTCATAATACACAACCTTCACTCTCCAAACTGTTAGGGAAAATATACGGACGCTTTTACGGCTTCAACTTCATTCCTAAAGTATGTGAGATTAAATCAATCCAGAAATTGATGAATGGGGCATTATTTGGTGATCCCAAGGAATAAGGAAAATAAATATACATTGAAGAGAGAGAGAGAGAGAAGAATGAAAGAATGGTAAATGAAATCAATTATATTAATTATTCTTTTCATTTATTTATGATATTACAATAAAAGTATATCCTCGAGCTTTCACGATACTTTCAAGGAAATTCAATCATCAAAGGGAATGTCGTGATGAGTATATACCTAGATATCTACTTACCAGATTCAACAAACATTTCGGATCTCTCCCCTACCTCATTTTAAACTTCTTCTTTCTTTCTCTTACCCTTCTTGTCTTGTCTTGGGCTGGCTGAAGGAGGAGAATCAATTCCTTTACTAACTAACAATTCGAAAACGGCAACCCATTATTTATTTCTAAATACACATTCTATCAATTTACGAAGACCAAATACATTACATTTATACAACAATTACTTCTTTCTTTCCTTATTCAAATTCACTCGAGTTTTCCCGTCCGAGATATCCGATCTTATTCAATCATACATACATACTCGTTTCAATTCATTCAAACTTTTTCTTCTCCTCTTCTTAAGGAGACTTTATTAAGTGATCGATTTGATGATTGTGATAAGAGAAGTTTGATTTCGTTGTATCATCAACCATCAAAAAAACGAAACCCAAGTCAATTCTGTACTAATTCAATCCAATCTATACGAAATCTTCCTTTCTTCCCCTGTTGTCGCAGACCTTCAGAACTTTCCCCATGGAGCGCTAAATCGATAAAATATAAAGTTAATAAATTGGTTATATACATGGGAGTTGAAAAAGGGTGCGCAAGAAGAAGAAGAAGATGGACTCGAGATTTCATGCTACTGTGATGCGACGGGAGGAAAATGATCAAGAAGAGGCTGTAATAAAGCGAGATGGGATAATGAATGGACCAAGCACAACCAGCACAACCAGCGGCTCAAACATAACTTACGACGTTGGTTCGCCCAGACAACAATCACAATCTGGAATTCGTTCACTTCTCAATCCTTCACCAACAACTTCAACCGGCGCACACCCGCAATTCAATCAACAATATCATCCACCACCAGCGGCACCTCAACTTATACCATCACACATTCCTCTTCAATCAACTTCAACTTCAGCTTCACCCATAGGTTTGGGTTTGGGTTCAGGTATCCCTTCATATCAAAGTGATCGAGATTCTGGTTATCAACGCAATCAGAAACCAACCAGTAATTACTACGATCCGACTTCCGACTCGAGCGAAAGAAGACCTAAGGAATCTTGGAGTGATAGGGAAGCTAAGACAAGACAAGTAAGATATTTTCCATACACCCGCGAAAATCATTCTTAATCTCCTAACACCTTTTCACAGAATCGTGATTCTTATCCATACCAAGCAAATCATCCACCCCAGACATCTGCGGATGGTATACTGAATCATTACAACGGCACCTATAAATCTCCCGTGAATACTCATTTTCCACCACGGTCGCCCATCTCACACGCGCACCCACAAGGTCGCGTACCTCCAGTGACACAATCACCACGAGTGCCCACGATGGAATCACCAGTTAGTCGAAATAATGGTAGTATTGGTGGAGGACCCGTAAAGCAGGAAAGGCCAGTCATCAAACAAGAGCCTATACCAGCTAGTGTAAGTCGCACTCATGTTCGCCTTTCACTTTTATCAATATTTTCTAATTCATTACCCACCAGACTCCTAGCAGAGTGGCGGACCCAATGGCATTTTCGAGTATTCTGTCCAGCGCTGCTCCAGAACCAACTCCAAAGCCTCAACCAACCCCCACCCCTATCATATCCAAGCCTCGCAAACCTTCACGACAAACCATGCCTAGCTTGAAGCCGGATCCCTCTCCGGCCCCTAGTTCTCGACAATCTTCCATCGCACCAGCTCCTCCACTACCTCCTCCACCTACCACATCGCGAGTACCTGCAAAGCGCAAGGCAAATGGGGAAACAAAATCCACACCAAAACCTAAGCCTTTTACCAAGGATCAAGAAAGGGATATCGTAATTTTGATGTCAAAGCTGGACGAAGAACCAGAAGACAGCAGCGATGTGGAATTTACGGAAGAGAAGAAACTCTATGAAACACGATCCCTTAAACGAAAACTCGAGGTTGAAAAAATTGAAATCGCCAAAACAAAGCAACGTCGAACCGATTTCTCCAATTCGATGACCAAGAAGTTGGGAAAGCATGCCAAGGCGGGTGAAGAGCGATATAGAGAAGTGGAAGGAGATGCAGCCATTTCGAAAGTACAAGCGGATGAAATTCAAACCGAAAAGGAGCGCAAGAAAGATATGCAGAGGAAGCGTCGTCGCGAAAAGACTGTTCAGAATAACATGGAACAAAAGGAGATTGCCTTGGCCAAGGCTCAAGCAGCACAAGATGATCAAGAACGACACAAATTTCTCCGCGATGCCCAGAGAGCAGAAAAGAAAGCACAGCAAACTAAACAGATACTCGCTAGAGGAGACAAGGGTCCAGAGATTAGAGCAGTTTCACCCATGGAACCTAATATGCAGGGAGGTAGTATGTCGACATTTACAGCTGTGGATCCTGATTCGATCAAGAAGCCAAAGCGTGGTGGTGCCCGACCAAGAAAGTCTAAAGAGCAGAAGCAGGCAGAGAAGGACTCGGCTGCTGCAGCTCAGGAAGCTATTGATAAAGGAGAGTCACCAGCTCTCATGTCAAGTAGGGATGTAGGAGAGTTCAAAGACATGAGGCCACTTCCAATGAAAGAAGGTCCAAAGATCAAACTCAAGTTCAAGGCACCAACAGAACCAGTAGAAATCAAGGAAGAATCGCCTCCTGCTCCGGTCGATCAACATAATACAAAGATGTTTCATGTTGTCTATGATCAGATTTGGAAGGATCTTGCCCGAAAGGAGGTTCCCAAGGTCTATAAACTTGCCATGGACTCTTATTCCATCCGAGGATCAAATCTGAAGAAGACTGCAATTTTGGCTTCGAAAGAAGCCAAACGATGGCAATTACGAACGAACAAGGGTACCAAAGATCTTCAGGCTCGTGCTAAGCGTGTCATGCGAGAAATGATGTCTTTCTGGAAACGCAATGAACGCGAAGAACGTGATACTCGCCGAGCCGCCGAGAAGCAGGAGATTGAGAGCGCTAAGAAAGCCGAAGCCGATCGTGAAGCAAATAGACAAAAGAGGAAGCTCAATTTCCTCATTTCACAGACCGAGCTCTACTCCCATTTCATTGGCAAGAAGATCAAGACGGATGAGGTTGAGAGATCTACCGATAATCCCGATGTTGCGGTTCCGAATAAGGCAGATCATGCGAAGCCAGATCATGGCGATTTGCCAGAAGGTTCTGCTCTTGCCAAGGTTACGAACTTTGAGGATCTTGACTTTGATGCCGAGGATGAATCTGTATTGAAAGCTGCCGCTATGGCTAATGCTCAAAACGCTATTCAGGAAGCTCAGAATAAGGCCAGAGCATTCAACAAACAGCAAGAAGGACCTGCCATGGATGATGAAGGCGAGATGAACTTTCAAAATCCTGCCGGCATGGGTGACGTCGATATTGAACAGCCGAAGATGCTCCAAGCTCAACTCAAGGAATATCAACTCAAGGGTCTCAATTGGCTTGTCAATCTTTATGAACAAGGCATCAATGGTATCTTGGCAGATGAGATGGGTCTTGGTAAAACCATTCAGTCGATTTCGGTCATGGCTTATCTCGCAGAGAAACATGGTATCTGGGGTCCATTCTTGGTTGTGGCTCCTGCATCGACACTGCACAATTGGCAGCAAGAAATCACCAAATTCGTTCCAAAGTTGAAGGTACTGCCATACTGGGGTACAGCAGCAGATCGAAAGGTTCTCCGAAAGTTTTGGGATCGAAAACACATCACCTACACTGAGGACGCCCCTTTCCACGTACTCATCACCTCCTATCAACTCGTCGTTTCGGATGTTGCTTATTTCCAGAAGATGAAATGGCAATATATGATTTTGGATGAAGCTCAAGCTATCAAGAGTTCGCAAAGTTCTCGATGGAAGAGTTTACTTGGTTTCCATTGTAGAAACCGTCTTCTGTTGACTGGTACTCCCATTCAGAACAACATGCAAGAACTTTGGGCTTTGTTACATTTCATCATGCCTAGTTTGTTCGATTCTCACGACGAGTTCAGTGAATGGTTTTCCAAGGATATTGAAAGCCACGCTCAAAGTAACACCAAACTCAACGAGGATCAACTCAAGCGTCTGCACATGATTTTGAAACCCTTCATGCTTCGTCGCGTCAAGAAACATGTCCAAAAGGAGTTGGGTGATAAGATTGAAGAGGATATCTTCTGCGATCTCACTTATCGTCAACGAGCATACTACAGCAACCTTCGAAATCAGATCAGTATCATGGACCTCATTGAAAAGGCAACAATCGGGGATGACAATGACACGGGTACGTTGATGAATTTGGTGATGCAATTCCGAAAGGTTTGTAATCATCCGGATCTTTTTGAACGTGCTGAAACTACTTCGCCTTTCTCATTCAGCTATTTTGCTGAAGCTGGTTCATTCTTGCGAGAAGGCCCCAATGTTATTGTGGCTTACTCTGCGCGTAACACGATTGAGTATTCGTTACCTCGATTGATATGGCGAGAAGGTGGACGACTTGACTTGCCTGGACAGGACAATGATGGTGCTGGTGTCAAGGCAAGATCCTTAGAGTCGCTCTTCAACATTTGGAAGCCTGAGAATATTCTTGGCAGTGCCAATGAGAACGGCGCATTTTCATGGATTCGTTTTGCCAATACTTCGGTACAAGAGTTATCAACAGTTTCAAAGAAGGATGTTTTTGCTCGTGCTGTGGATGTTGCAAAGAAACCACAAAGTCTTGGTAGGCTCAACATTGTCTATGATGAAGAGGAAGACAAGAACTATACTCCAGTTCATGCTATGCTTCAAATCGTGGATAGGAAAGATCGTAAGCCTCTTGCTGAAGTTACAAATGAGGGATATCTCAACAAACTCTACAATGTGGCCAATGATGTTTGGGCTGAATCTGGTATGAGTCTATTGGAACAATGTGGTCGACCACGTGCAACCGCCCCTCCTATCGAAGTCACTTGTTCGAGTAGAGGTGCCGTGATTGAAAGACAGAAGGTCTTATTCAATGTTTCGATGAGACGTGCACTATTTGGTCCTTCACCTTTTGAAGAGAAAGCAATGATTACCTCCAAGGTTTCACCATCATTCTATCCACCAAAGCCAATGCTACCATCACCTAATTCGGAAAAACAACGCTTTACCAACATCAAAGTACCCTCAATGCGGCGTTTCGTTACTGATTCTGGCAAACTTGCTAAACTCGATGCTTTACTTACCAAGCTCAAAGAAGGTGGTCATCGTGTTCTTTTGTATTTCCAAATGACACGTATGATTGATCTCATGGAAGAGTATTTGACTTATCGCAATTACAAGTACCTTCGTCTTGATGGTTCCACAAAACTCGAGGATAGGAGAGATACTGTTCATGATTTCCAAACTCGACCAGAAATCTTTATCTTCTTGTTGAGTACCAGAGCTGGTGGTTTGGGTATCAACCTCACAAGTGCCGATACAGTCATATTCTACGATTCTGATTGGAATCCTACAATTGATAGTCAAGCCATGGATCGTGCACATCGTTTGGGACAAACTCGTCAAGTTACCGTCTATCGTATGATTACTCGTGGTACAATCGAAGAGAGAATTCGCAAGAGAGCTTTACAGAAAGAAGAAGTTCAAAAGGTTGTTATGACTGGTGGTACAGGTGGTGGTGTCGACTTTAATACGAGAAGTAAGGAGAATAGAACGAAGGATATTGCCATGTGGTTGGTGGATGATGAGGAGGCGGCGGAGATTGAGAGGAAAGAAGCTGAGCAGCTTAGATATGAAGCTGAGAATCCTACTGCGAATAAAAAGGTGAAGGGTAAGGGGAAGAAGGGGAAGGAGGGTGGTGGAGGGAGTTTAGAGGATCTTTATCATGAGGGTGAGTTTTGATCAAGTATTTTAGTTAGCGTGATTTAATTTCATCTCTTGAGAGAGGGATGGGATGATAATTGTGCGACGAACGAGGGGAATCATTTGCTAACTTTTGGATGATAGGCGAAGGACATTTTGATGATGGATCGAATAGGCCCAGTGGTGCTGCTACACCTATTGCTGGTGATGCGGGCAAGAAAAAGTCCTCGAGTAGTAAGAAGAGTGGTGGAGGTGGTGGGAGTAAGAAGGCCAAGACAGCTAAACAGAGGTTGGCTATGGCGGATGGGGATGTGGATATGGGATAAGGAAAGCGGTATAGAGGTATCTGATAAATTATGGATGGTTTGGGAACGGGTGGGAATTGTACGATTGATTGCTGGTTGGTTAGTAAAATTATGACAGGTATTTGCAGGTGGGGAATGGAGAAATGGAAGGGAAGGGAAGGGGAAAAAAGCTAAGAGATTTGACTTGACTCGCAAGTTTATGGGATTTAAATTTAAATGAGGAAGTTAAATTATAGGGATAAGGATGGAGATATGGATAGGGAGAGGGATAGGGCGAGGCATAGCTTGAGCTTGAGCTGTTGGTGGGTGAAAGAAAGTGTGTTTATGTGTATTATATTATTGGTATTATATTGGGCATATACATACCAATTTTCGGTTGAAGTGTTTGTATGGGTGATGTGTGTCTGTGTGTACTAGTAAGAAACAATCAAATCTGCTCTGAGCAATCCCACCAATATTATAATTCGATGAAATTAACCGCGGGCCCTGAGGAGTTATGGATGGCATTTTACGGATATGCCCACCAAATTTGAAAGTCTGATTTCGGTCACGGAGATTTATGTGTATATTGGAGTTGGCGAGGGGGGGGCGGGTGTGTGTGTTTATTTATTTTTTTAGATCTTTTACTTCTTGGTTGGTGTTGTAGTGTGAGTGTTGGACAGGGTGCTACTTGGATGTGTTTGATGAAGGATGAAAATGGATGACATAATACTTGAGTGGGCTGGTGAGAGAAATTGTATGTAAAGATGGATATATACTCGCAAAACACATGTAAAGCAACGAGAAGATTTGAGGGGGGAGGGTTGATATCTGGAGACCTTTTTATCTTTATTCGCAGTAATTCGAATGCAGTTGGAGAAGGGTGTATAAATTCTTTAGCGAGATGAGCTTTTACAGTCAGTCTCTACGACCGCGATTATGAATTGCTACTGTATATTCACCACTCTTGGTTATGCCGTACAAATTTAGAACGCAAACTAATATTCACTGTTGTAGAGACGAAGCTACCTTTTCTGCTGTCTGTCCCCACCAAGAACTTTGTTTCATCTTCTCCATTCAATGATCAACAAATATCAACATAATCTTACATCGGTCGGAGCCCTTGCAATCTTTTACACGCAAATCTGATCTAGATGGAAGCCATGGATCTAGCATCTTTTGATTCTTTTCGGGTAGAGAAAAAAGCTTGGTACGATTTGGCCCATCCAATAGGAGAAATTCTTCCGAATGTAGAAGAATATAAGAGATTTCTTCCCGGGGCCATTCAAACTATTCCCAACCACCCAAGAAGCTTTGCTACAGATCAGCAATTTGAGCCATCAATGATAGAGTGGCAGGACCAAAATTACAGCAATAAGTTCGACGTGGAGTTGAAAGGAAGGGAGGATGAAAAGTATGGAAAGACGAAGGAAAGCAAAGCTCCAGAGAGAGAGAGATTGTGCAAAGATGGGCTTGTTTATGATCCAGGTAAGCTATATACCTTAGCTGTGCTCGTTTTGACTTGATTGCCAGTAACTGACATATTTTAGCAACATGGCAGATCTTCCAGATTAAGTTTTATCATGACCTTCCGGCAAACCCTATCCAGATAGCCTGGCCCTCGGATTACACAGCCATTGTGCAAATCCTGGAGTCATTCCCCAAGTTCCCCAGATTACCAACAGAAGTCCGACAGATGATCTGGAACCACGCTTTGAACTGTCATCCTCGAGCTGTCAAACTCAAGGTCGACCGGAAATATGGCTACTTAGGGTTACGCGAGGGTGGCGTGGATACCATTAAATTGTCGTGCCACATACGACAACATGGTCCTGTTGCGGCTAAACTTCCAATCCCTTTACTCTACGTCTGCAAAGAATCAAACTTCCTCTTCTTGAAGAGATATAAGAAAATGAATTTGATTGTTCCTGTCCAAGAATTCGATCTCGACTTGCGCCTTGTCGGTCTGGAAGTTGATGAAGTTGCGAATTGTGTGATTCGGGTCGACCGCAAAGGATATATTGACTTTCAGCATGATACATTGATGATAAATTGTTTCCGCCCCATCACAGAAACTCTTTGGCAGTGGAATAATACTTCGTTGGACCTTTCCTCAATTCAAAGCATTGCGTTGAAAACCACACATCTCAGATTGGATAAAGGTCGTAGACGTCGATATCACAAGGGAGAAATGACGGTATGGGAAGCCCTCGAAACTGGTTGCCCGAATCTCAAGCGTCTGACCTTTGTCAAAGGCTCGATGGAGAAAAGTCGTTGGGATCCAAATCTTCAAGTGGTTGCACGTCTTTTGCCAATTAATACGGAGTTGCTGGATGAGGTCGTGCATGATTATGTCATCACTCATCAAGACAATTATCTAGCTGCAAAAAACCCGGATGATCTAAAGGAATTAAAGGCGTATCATCGATGGGTTTTGCGATGTTTGTCATCGGGACTAGAATCTCGGTATGAGGATGCCAGGAGAATGAGATCTCGATTCCGTCAGCAAATTGAGCGCAATCCAAAATATTGGCAAAATATTAGTTTCGACGTAGCGTTCGTCTCGTGGGTTGTGAGCAGCTTCTATATGGGAAAGAGGATGGAGAAGGTCATAGTTGTGCCCCCAAAGGATAAGCAAGCCGCGATGCAGCACTCGTATTTCTGGGCTCAAAGACCAATAGTGTTTGTAGATGATAAACCTAAACTTCAATTAGGAGCTTTCTCGCACCCGGTTTCTTGTCATCCGGATGGTAGTTTACTAAATAGGTATGAAGGAGTAAAGGAGATGTTTGAAAGTTAAGCGAAAGATCGATTTGAGAGCCAATGTGGCGAATGTTTATTTGTATCGTTTGCGCATCAAACATTGGCCTTTACAGGAACGCATGATACTAGCCTAGCCGATAGAATATAGAATAGATCACAGCATTTCAAAGGTTTTATCGTCAAATATATTTTCCTCTCTGTGAACTCTTCATTTACTTCAATTCATAAGTTCGATGTACACTGGTGTTTCCTGCATACCGGTACTCCCTTCTTCATCAAGTGCTGGCTAAGAGGTACTTTACCTCGGTTCTTCCATTGGCAATGTGAATTTATAGATAGCATAGATTTGTATACCAGTATCTACGAGTAATCTGCCAAAGTTAGATCAGCCCCACAAGTTCTGCAAAGCAATTTCAGATCATAATCAATTATTCGCATCAATAACTCGTACTCGAGTACAAGGCAAACCTACTCGTCTCATCCATGAGAATCTTATTTTACGCATATATTGATAGATAGAATAACAGCACCGGTAGTATATCCGTGCACATATACATATCTCATCGCATCACCTTGTGATAATATTGATATTCAATCAATACAACCGTGGTTTCGGTTAGTAATCTTTGTTTATCGGTTTTGGCTAACTATTGAAGATCAGTATATGAAAATAGAGTAGAGTTTTGTTGCATGTCTTATATCTTATAATTTTGATTCGTTGGTAGCTTGGTAAATTGGTAGATTGGTAAATTGGTAAATTGTTAGGTTGGTAAATTGGTAGATTGGTAGCTTGGTAGCTTGGTAGCTTGGTAGCTTGGTAGCTTGGTAGATAGATGGGAGAGTAACTAAGGAAAAGACTAACTAGCTTTATGAGAAAGAAGTTGGAAAGGAGCCAAAATGTACTCCATCATGGGGGGTCGAGAATCAGAGGTATAAAATCTAACAGGTCTACAGGTCCATAGATATAAGAACAAATCCAGTCTTGAACCTTTAAATACAGTGCTGATGGATAAGGAAAGGTTTAAAGGAGTTTGATAGAACAGGATAGCTGGCTACTTGACTGCATAGAAAATGAGGGGGTTTCTTCATATTACTAGCGGACGCCAACCTACCCGTCACCCCTCAGTATATGCCATATGATGTTGTATGCATTCCCGGTGTAGAAACACCGGTTGTAACCAGCGATCTACTCGCACTCCCCACAAATACTAAGAGTTAAATTTTTACATCTCTTTCTGCATGTGCCAACAATCTGCCAACCTAACCAACCAGTCAATAATTCCCCATGCCTTCATTTTTGTTTAGGAGGTTGAAGGTTTCTGGCTTGAACAGAATCGTGGGAGAACGAACACAAGGGCAAGGGGGATTTCGCAGTAAATAGGACGTCGGTCTAGCAGAATAGGTGTGATCTTGAATCAGAGATCTTTATCTCCCCTTCCTATCATTTCCTGCCTTGTAGAAAGGGAAAGATAGGCTCACTAGCGCCTGAGGTTAGGAACGGGAAGGAATGGTCAAACTCTTTTTAGGATAGGACTCGGAGTGGAGAGGAATAGATACCTGAAAATTAGATTAGAAATTGATAGGAACAAGGAGGAATATTGAAAATATATTTGAATAATTGATCAATAAATTTCAATATATAGTCTATATACTACCTTTTATTTTAAAAGAAACCATAATCTTTCTTTTGCCTTCTCACTTTCACAAAAATTATTTCTCTTCTCTCTTATTCTAGCTCTACTAGTAAAGATAGAAAGAAGTATAATGTTTCAAAGATTAGGAACAGTATAGGTAACCTTCAATTTTAAGAGATTAGAAGCGGGATAAGAGAGGAAATGAAGAGGAAGGGAGCACTAAGGAGAGGAAATCAAGATCACTGAACGGATGTTCGAGAACAGCCAGATGGTATGAATCACCTTTTGAACTCCATTCCCTGATTTACATATATACATCACTCATGGTGGTATGTTATCCGTCCATCCATCCATCTATCCATCCATCCATGTGATAACCATCCTTCAAAGCAAATTTTCTCATGCGCCATGCTATCAATCCCGCTTGCTAAAGTGATGTATAGGAACAAATGAACTGCAAAGAAAAGAAAGATCCAGAAACCTTAGAATTTCTGATGGAAAGAACTCCTAGCAACCTTACTCCTCAATCTCTTTCCAAAAATATACATAGGAATCGCAAATGCAGAAACTGCAAGATTGGCAATCGCTACAGTTGTGAACACACTCTTAGCACCACTTGCCTCAAACCATCCGTTGACGAAATTACTCATGATAAGTGATAACACTGCCTTGATAAAATTCATCGTCACGAAAGCTTGTGGTGCCAATCTATTATGACAATCCATAACATATGTAAACATACTGCTAGTCGCGAATGGAACTGCAAATGTCTGAACTCCCAAAAATGTAATGGGGATGTAAATTGATGCTCCGGCTTCAACAGAGTATCCAAACCCAATATAAGCGACAGTTGAGAATGAAGCAGCGACAAACATGAGGACAAGACGGAATTCAGGTTCGTAGATTCCATTGTTGTGACGTGTCATCCATTTTACAACTAAATCTGCGCAGTATCCTGAAACTAGGGTTCCGACAAGTCCAACGCCGAAGAGTGGAAGATTGGTGAGTCCAATGGCAGAAGATGAGAGATTGTATGGAGGGGCGCTGAATATGGTGTCTTGAAGTAAAGCAATGAGTGATAAACCGGCGGCATAAAACGAATATGTAAAGGCGCTGAATATAACGGCAGGGAAAGTAACTAGAGGAATTGGCTTGGCGGCGAGTGCCCAAAAGCTGGCTTGTGAGATACGTCCATTGAAGATAGAAAGGCCTTCTTTGAAAGTTTTCTTTATATCTGGAAGAACAATTTCGTAGACTCGACCTTCGGTTTTGTCGATGATGAGTTGGGTTGGAGGATTGGTGGGAGAAACGTAGAGGGTTTCGGGTACGAAGAAATACATCGCTGGGATGATCATGGCGTAGATACAGGCGCAAATTCCAAAGGTAAATTTGAATCCTAAGGATTGGATAATGAAACCTGCGATGAGTTGACTGAAGGGAATTAGTATTTGGAGGTGGCATATGTGCTGGTAATATTTAACATACCCAAGTTTAACACCACCCATAACGAACAAATTCCATATACTCAACATCTTACCCTTTTCATGTACAAAGAAAATCTCCGAAACTGTAGCACTGACGAGTGTCTCAAGAGGAGAAGCGCAAAAGCCTTGTACAGCTCGCGTTATGGAAAGTGATATAAAACTATTAGAAAAGAAACCCCAAATATTGGTTGCCAAGAGACCAAATGTAGATATAATGAACACTGGACGTTTTCCCCATACGGCAGCTGCAGCCGCGGTGAAGAATGTACCAGAACCAGTTGTAAGTTGCATGACTCCGACAATATTGAAGGAAACTTGATCGGTAGTGACCCCAAAAGCTGTAGCTACATCTTCGGAACCGGTAGTAATCATTGGACCGAGACTTTTAACTCATGTTAGATCGGTATGGATATATTTTGGTGGAGTGTTGGACATACGAGACAGTGACACCAGCAGTCAAAGCTAAAATGAGAAGAATGGACATTTTGGTAGCAGTAGACCTAGGAGCATGTTAGTAAAAAGACACTTTGATAATATAATAATCAAACATACCAATTGAGAGGATCATTGGGACTTTCCGAAGGTTGAGGGTTGAGAACAGTCTCACCCCTCTTCTTTGGCTCAACGTAATCCCAACTCTCTTCCTTTGCTTTGATGAGGTCAGTAACTCTGTTTGATCCAAAAAAGATCGAATCTACTCACATGAACCATCACCACCAATGGTATTTTCACCAAGGTTCACAGTTCCAGGGATATTTGGATACCTTGGATCCTGCAAAACACCCCATCCAACCATTTTGATGTGTAGTAAAAGGTTTCTTAAAAAATGAAAGAATGTAAAATATCAAACATCAAGCGAACCAACAAGTGATTACAAGTTTACACAGCAAACAATAAAAAAATAAAAACAATGAAGAGAATGAAAACCGAAGGAATCGAAGAAAAGTCTTATCAGACTCGCCAGCGATATACAAAAGATCTATTGAAGGGAAAAGAAAGGATTGGTGAATGTACAGTACAGTGAAAGAAAAAACTTCCCCATCACTGCACAACTCCTCAATACTTAATAGAAGTGACAAAGTGGAAATATTTTTTTCAATATCAACACACATAGTTGAATGCCATGTATGTGCCTTGCTCCAAGCTTTTCTCGTCAATATTCACTTAAATTCAATGATCCGTTAGTTTCAGGCTGAGATTTACTTTCCCACAGGGCTGCACCGATACTGATGATAGCGGAGCCTTGCTGTCCCCCTTTTGTACGGGATGATGTGGATTGAGGTGGACGAATTCTTGGGATTGGGAGAGTTTTTAGAATAGTATTCCTCATTGTTTAGTCTCGGGGATTGAAAAAGGAAGGGTTATTCTTCGTGGCTATGAGGTTCGTTAACATAATACCGATACTCCATCACTTGTAGCATCAAGTATTATCATCGTCTGAAGTTGAGCAAATGATCTGCCATGCATTCCATGTTGAAATATTCTTGAAAGAACAAAACAACAAGGTAAGAAGAAAAAAATAATATACTTTCGACAATTTTGGTTTGGAAGACGTGGATCGGAGGTTTGAAGATACTGGTAGTGCCCTTGTGAAAGAGTAAGTGCTGACGAGTCAATGGGTGTTTGAAGTGAGTGATGGGTTAATGATTTAGTTAGCGTTGATTCGTCCTCGAAGTGCTTAGAAGTTTCGCGAGCTTCTAGATTGAAATTGACCAATCGGCTTCGAGAAACTACTTACGGAGAATAGGGGAACCCATGTTTTCAAAGTCAATGCACTTTACAGACAGACATCACCATACATCAACTTTGGCCAAAGAATAGATTATTTATCAAGAAGAAATCAAAGTGATGTTAAACCGGAAGTTTGAATCGAGATAATTAAATGAGGAGGAGCTAAAGCCGAAAAGATTCAAAGTGAGGACTTTTCTTTCAAATAAGATGAAAATCATCTAATAAAGTTATTGTAGCAATGGCTTTAATTGATCTAAGTTTACCCAATCGACGCCAATCGACCCGTAAGTATAAATAAAATAATATCTACAGGGCAAACCTAAACCTTTAAAGGAACAAGGAATAAGGTGTACTAGGTGCTTGTACTTAACCCACCAATTTCGTCCTTTCAAATTTCTTCATATCCATGGCGATTCACTTAGAAAGATTTGGTTTCGTCGTGCCAGTACCTTCAATCAATCGAGAGGATTGGTTCGGGTATGAAAATGAAGGGGTAAAGTGTTCTATATGCTCCATCGCCGACGCCGCTGATACCGCAGACCACGGACTTGACTGCGCAAGGCACCGTCGTTTTTTGTATGATATGATATGTCGTCTGATCTTATCGTTTCTTTTCCAAAATTAAAGAGGTTTCTGGCCATAAACTAATTTATGCGGATAATACGAGTGTATTCGTCGATCTCGAGCTGCAGCACGAACTTGAGCACTATGCATACGTCAACCTTCCAAGCTCAAAGTCATAGCGTCAAAAAGAGAATTAAAACTTACCAGAACAATTGAACCTCAGGTAAACTCATCTATTCAAGTCATTAGTTTCAGATCTCAAGTGACGACCTCTCTACTTTTGGGTAGTCCTATGTGGTAGGATCGACTTACCCCAATAACATTGGTGAAAAGTTGTACGGCAAACCCTTCCAATCCCACATCAAACTGTAACAGATTCCACTTTCCTACTTCTTGTAATTTCGCATCGTTCGACCATTCTCCCAATGGAGTTTTGTATGTCCTCTCCTGGAGATTGATGAATCCAGCTTGGGCTATTTTTGAACTCATTGTTGGACACAGATCCATTGATTGTCCGGTACGTTCCCCGGCCTGATTGAAGAGCTATTTTGAGACCATTTCAAATTAATAGATATACATCAGGTTTGAAAAAGAAGGAATATGGATGGAAATTTGGAAGACATACCTCCGCGAACTTGAATAACGGACTATCCGGTGGTAGCGTGTCGTCATCAGAAAAGATATATAATGATGGCTCTATATGTTGTATGAATCCTCCTGGCTTTAAATGTCTAGAATTTATCAGCATAACTATTTATCATCTGGAATCTGCAGAGGTACCTCACTTATAAGCTTGTGTGTAAAGTTCATCCCAATTAGGGATACTGCCAAAAAGTGCACGAATGTGTATAAAGTCAAAATAATTTGGCGGATAGGTCCATTCTTCTGTCATATCATCTATCTCAAATCTTGGGTCAAACGTCAGTCATTGCCGGATGTATGTTTGTGTCGATGTTGAATATTTTACCTGCAATTTGGTGGAACCACTGAGGTGTTTAACGTCAGTGTCTATGGAAGGAGAACTTTGAGGTCATAAAATATGACCTACATCACATAGAGAATCCTTGGATATAGGCCAAAGGTTGGACGAAGATGAAAACAGCTACTTACTGTCAGGCTGAATTGGTGATAAGTCTGTTCCAACAACTGATGCATTTGGAAAAAGGTCAGAAAAATCAATTGCCCATATTCCCGTGCCTGTTCCAAGATCTAAAACTCGCTTCCTCTAGTGTCAGTCATTTGTGAACTTTCTTTGGGTTTGTTTCGGTGTCTTTCTACCTCGACGTCGTTCGGTATTGGTGCGAGGTACAAGGATCCATTCAACATTGATATATATCTCCGATGACTTGAATCTTGTCAACAAACTTCCTCGCTGATGATATATTGGGTATTTTTGAGTTACCTAATGTCAATTTGTTCATTCTGTATTTCATCGTTGGGTTGCCTATGCATCATCAGAACTCAGAGTCCATTCAAACAAAAAGATGAAAGCATCAACAAGGAAGCACTCACCAATAAGCTCCTTCTCTATACGTCTGATATCTCCTTCCGTTTTCAATTTTGAAAGCCATGGCACTCGAATCTATTGAATATGTATCTCCCGCTCTATCATATCATTTGCCAATGTTAATTGTCCAGCTCTTCATAGTACGAGCCTTCACAATTCCCCAGAAACGTGGAAAACCTACAATTCCTCTTCTTCAGAAGAATAGGTACGGGAAGTGAAGCCACTTGTGGCATCCTAAGATGAAGTCAATTAGTATGGCTCAAATAAGGCCGACTACCAATATCCGAGAAGAAACATTTGCCGAAGTATTCATACCCTCTGTCCAGTCTCACCATTTTCTGATGTAGCCATAGTTCTCGTCTAGTGATACGATATTCGAAGATTGAAAAGGAAGATGGTAGTCTGTGAAGATGAAGATATAGTACCGTAAGACTTTACAACACGCCGAGTCAAGGAGGGTCGATTAGATACAAAGGTAAGTTTCGACGGGAATGGGGAAATTGTCAAAATCCCAAGAGACGAATTCCCGGGTCGTGCGTCATGTCTCAAAATCTCATTGACCAGGGGATTGTAATTCGGATTCGGGTAGAGAATTTCTGTGGGAATACTAATAAAATACTTTGAGGCGGGCAGCGGACTTGAAATTGAATTCTGATTGATTGTTTGATGCGTTGTCATAAGTTCAAGGCTAGAATGTATGTAACTAATGTTCACTGATTAAATGGAAAGAGGTATTCGAGTAGAGTAATATATTAAATATCACCTAATTGAACAAGTTGCAGTACGGTCTAGACAGAGCTGAGCTGTCACAGCTCAGCTCTAGTAGTACCTAGAACGAATTAAAGAGGGGGATGCATTTTTGTTTTTTAATTCAAGGATTATTCTTTAGGGATGAAGGGGGGTGGAGGGGGTAGAGGGGGTGGATTTACAGACATCCTAGCTAGTCATTTTCAGACATTTCATGCATTTGACATTGACCCGCGTTAAAGTGGAAGAAGCCGACCTTCCCGGTTTGCTGGGTCGGCCGTCTCCAGAGACCTGGGTTTGTTTATGCTTTTACTATTACAGAGAGAGGTACACTCTTCATTATTAGAATCATTACACTCTTATTACACTCTTCATTATTAGAATCATATCATTACACTCTTATTATACTCTTTATTATTAGAATCATTACACTCTCATTATACTCTTGAAGTAACTCTTCATTATTAGAATCATACCCCTTTTCAATATGAAATACTACCTATTAGGCTATTACCTGGTATATACTCGAGTACATTCAAACTTAAAGAGACTCATGTACTTATGTACTCATGTATCTATTCTGCATGTTATACATGGTTCTTGTGTGTACGGACAAGACTCCACTGAAAGTTTCGAGAGAAGTAAAGATTTCCCTTACCAATAATATATATTAATTTGTTCGATTGCGCATCTGTCGCTCGTAATTCCTTCATCAAGCCCGAGATAGTGGGGGTAAAGAGACAGAGACATATATCCCTTACCAGCATCAAGGCGATTATTATTCCCAATGATATTATCCCAAGTATGCAACCCAGTTCAATTACAAGTACCGGTGTACGGGAAATCAAAACTTTAACCATATTGTCGGAAATTGATAAGACTTAGGCTAACCGGGATTCCTATAGTTTGAGACATCATCGGAGATAAGTCTTTCAATTTGACATCAAATCTTCAATCCAGGAATAATGATTGACGTCCTCGTATACCTAGATGGGTACATTCACGAGCAACTTCAATTATAGCCTCGACGGCTTCTTCTTAATTAGAAGTCCATTGAGTTGATGGGCAATTTGGTTGAGGCAAGCCCGCATTTTCCCCTGGTACATTCTTACGGCCGCCAACCACTCATACATACTGCATGCATACTGTATGCACCATCTTTCGGATACTAACTTATAATAATAAGGTTATAACTCTGCACCAAAACTTATCAGAACCGTACTAACTTCAGACAAGTGCTGACATTTTAGAAATACTCTCCCCTCCCGGAGGATTGTAGAGCTGGTTCTGGAACGCATCTATCCAATGGGGTTTCGATTCAAATCATCCGTTCTAGCATCCAGAAGACTTAGAACATTCGATGACCGAATGTACAAGGGGAACACGTTGACCCAGCAAACAACTTTCGTTGATAAATTTCAGGGGATTGCGATGTTTAGGGGTGGGGGCCAGAAACTACCAAACATGCATACAAACCCTACCTATGCATTACAATAACCCAGATACCAAGGAGAAATAGTAACTAAAGTCTAGTTGTTGTCATATTGGTCTGACCTGTCAAATACCCAGGATCAATGAATGTATCATCGACATCAGCATCATCATTATTTTATTTTTAGTACCCTCACTGTTGCCATTTCGTGACCAATCAATATCACAGCCACAGAGCAACGTTGCACGACATTTTTGACTAATAAGCTGGAACAATCAAGTCTCATACTGAATATTTTGCTTACCTGTTGCGGTGAGTCGAGTTTGTACTAGGATTTGCGGAGGTTGTATGTCATGGATTGAGATGAGCCTGTTGTATGATCTCACCTACCATCACTTTCATGTTAAGCAAATGATCATTCGAGCTGAGATGAAGCTGTAAATCAGCGTGGGTTTCGGGAGCGCCCGGTTCCCGAATGATCGTTTTAACCTCCTGGTCCCTGGATCTTCATGTTTGCGCTTTGGGTGCCGTCAGTGTTCTTCTTCTTCGAAGTTTCCAAGGATGCGAACTTCATCTAAGTTTGTTGGTGCTACAAATGATTTCGGGATTCTCTCGACAAGAGAATTCCACAAGATTCTGATAATGCTACAGTGCACTCCCGGCTAAGACATCATACACGAGCCGACGGAGCAATTTACCAAATCAGCATAATTAGAATTTATGTTATCACGGAAAAACTGCTTCTTAAGTCGCCTGAGGATACATGGTAGTTGATGTGTCTCGTGGGGGCGTTCATCCTCCCCGAAAGTGGGCAAAGAACATGGGTGACCAGTGGACTGTCGTATATCTACAAATCTACAAATCACCTCAGGACTCCACTTACCTTGCAAATACTAACATGAACATTCATGGGTTTCTTTTAATCGAAGTTCAACCAATATTAGACATGATGTCTGTGCCTATCCCCTATGGGCACCTCAGAAGGGTAATTAACCCACTAGTAGATTATTATTGTATTAAACCATGTATTGAAATATAATGAGATATACTAAAATCTTGTATTGAGATCTGAAATCATAGTTTAAATCTAATATAAATTAGTTCGATATAGCTTCATCTTTTTTCATTCTAAATCAATAATTCATATTTACCGAAATCTTTCAATTATATTCCTTTACAACTTTTCATTCAAACCAATTTGAATATTTTCAATATTCAATAAGTCAGAATGAATACTTTCAATGTTTTCAATATATAATAAGTTAGAATGGTTTCAATGATTTCAATACTTCAATATTCAGTAAGTCAGTATGTTTTCAATATTTTCAATATTTAGTAAGTTTGAATGATTTTAATTGTTTATAAATGATTAAAGGTTAGCAATAACAAAGATATGACAACGAGGTTCAAAATAAGGTATAAAACTCAGGGAGAAAAAGGCCAGAGAGATCAGAGAGGTCAGGAAGGCCAAGGAGACCAGGGAAGAGAGAAAGGCCAAAAAGGCCAAAAAGGGAAGGGAGAGGAAGAAAGGGAGGGGATAGCAATTGAGAAACCCAGAAAAAGGTAATCAATAATATCAGAGACCTTTTTAGTTTCAAATCTCAATATATATACTAAAAAAGACACTTATCAAAAATAACCGATTTACCCTCTTTAGGAAGATTATTTACCCTTCTGAAGAGGGTTATTTACCCTCCTGAGGTGCCCGTAGGGATCTTCATCCCGACATGTTGGAGCCGCCACGACAAGCGACCCTTACCGAGTAATTCGTACTACGTACCCCTTTAAGATCTTAATACAAGTAGACAAGACACTATTGACGATTTCTATAAGCTTGCATTATCTCAAACACTAACGACGAAACCTTATAATTCAAGGTACTAAAATGAAGGATTGTTTTACTAACTAATCACCAAGATTACAGCCTAAATCTTATGATCACGTACATATGTCTCCATGCGCATTGCCTTGGGAAATATCAATAAGGAAATGGCCAAAAACTGTGACTGGATTTGCCTTGATTCCTAAAGCTTGGTGAAGTCAAAATGTAGCAGCTCCGACGCCACTTCTGCAGCCCTCTACTCTACTCTCCACGATATTGCAAACAATAAAGCCACACTTCACAAGAGCCCATAAAGTCTGAAAAAGACTAGGTACTCGGATCCGATATGATTCGCCGGTCAATCTCCGTTCTTCCCAAAACAAAACTCGAAGATATGCAAATATTCCTTGGTCCAAAGTCTTGGACACCCACAATTCCAAAGTTAACATGAGCGGTGAGAAACGCCGCTCATTTTTCTCTCTCAAGACAAACTTACTTTGAGACATGGACCTAAGAGTGAACTGAACTGAACTGCCCATTAGAGCAAGCAAGCATGGTGAAACGGAGAGGCTAATACATTCTATTGCTGACATCACATTCATGCACGGAGAACACGAAATCGCAGAGTAGAATTCCTTGGGTTTATTTGGGCATGCATACACACAGACTTTTGCATGGTCATATACTATTAGTAACGCCACTAAAGCCCAAACTTGCTGCTGCTTAGTTCTACAAATTCATCTCATGATCATAGACCAATGCCAATGTTGTGCGTTTTGATCAATCAATGGACGCCAACTGATTCGATGGTCGGAGAAAGCGGTATGTTCAACTATATTTTTTCTTCAAAGCCGTCCAGAACAACAGAAATATGTTTTCCAAATATTGCCATACAACCACGCATATCCATCGGTCATATCAGTTTCGACACCAGTATCCTTTAAACGTCCTTTAAACGGCGAGTTAACCTTCGGCGGCGGGCATAATGGAGTCTTACGATAAACCTCTTCAAAAGATCTCCAATGATCCAATGAATGGTTTTTCAATCAAAACAAGCCACTATACGCGACAAAGCTCAACAGGAAAAGTCAAGGGAAAGTTCAGATATTCATTTCATGACCTGACCTGACCTGACCATGGAAATTTGGAAACCCTTTGAGTTTGTGGAAATCGTACGCATATAAAAATTTCATCAGCCCTAAGCCTGCGTATGAGCTTAACATTGAATCGCTACCTATTTGGAAGCTATCACCCACCTCATTTGTGCCCGGTATAGACTTCCTTTTTTCTCGTTATACTTCGGAAGCAAAGGCAACTAAGGAAGGACACGTAATGCATTCTTCCGTGCGG